TTTTTCATGTCTCAACTTCTTCTTCATTCTCCTTTCGGAACCAGTCCTTTAATTTTGTAACCGGGTTTAACGGGGTAAAAAAACAAGGACAGGTGCAGATTTGTGGCCAGAAAATTGTTGGTGGATGGCGGCCTATCGAGGTTTCCCCATCATCTTAACATAGAGGAGATTTGTTTGGGGCAAAATTTTGGCGGGAGGTGAGGGTGGCGGTTTATTGGGGGGCGGTTTAACGGGGGTTGACTGTAGAATGTCTTGAATCCCTGTAATTTTAAGTTTACCGTAGTGGGGAGTTTATTCTCAGATACTGTTAGTTTCCAAAATTCTTTAATTGCTTCTGTTGAAAGTTGATTATTGGCTATTGCCAACCTATGTAAGAACATCAGAAAGCGACTGTTTACATTACACACTGCACAACAATGTCCCAATAATAATCTAAGAGCTCTAATGCTGCATGATTTTGGAATGTGAAAAAACCATCTGTAAAATAGGTTCTGTAGTGTATCCATTTTATGTGAATTATTTTCTGCATGGCAATGTATGCACTGGTCTGGCTTTGATGCCATCATGCCAATGTCTCATCAAAATTGATATCCAAACATTGGAAATCGAGTTCAGGTAGATTTCCTTGCAAAAATCTCTCCTTGCAGGAGATCTTTATTCTCCCTATATCCCAAATTGTAATCAGAGGGAACAACTCACCTTTCAGAAGATTGTATGGTATGTTTTGCATCATACAACATCAGCCGTATTTGCAGCTTATCAACTAGTGCAAATACACGCAGGGTTTTTTAATTAAATCTCCTCAAATAAATTATTCAAGGCACCAAAGCTCATATAGTTCCGATCTTCTTTGAATCTGGTTAGAATTAATTTTTGAAGTTAGTCACGTCAACACTGTGTAACAATTTGACAAATTACGCATGTTGCATTCAAAATTTGTGCATCGCATCTATGCCCAGCCAATAATTCAAATCTCCAGCCATTTTTTTGTTCTCTCCATTGTTGAACTGGTGAAATTTCTTCACCAGCAGCAGCGCATGCTGATTCTTCATGCTGCTGCCTTTTTTGTTTGTGGAGAATTTGCCTCAAGTTTCATTTATTTTTCTGCCCATTTGCAGCTCATTCTAATGTGACTGGAAAGCCATATCTTGAAAACCCAACTAACCCACCAAGATTGCTACATGAACTTTTCTTCTTTGAATGACCTCTGTCTCTATGCATGCATTTTACAGCTGTGAGAAAACCCAAAACAAATAATAGTTGAACCTCTTGAAGTCAAACTTCAAGGGACCAACAAAATGAAGTTGGCAGAGAAATTCATAGTTAAGGAAACAGCCATTTTTGCTGGATACATAAGAAGAAATATTTACTGCATGGATTTAAAATTGGTGATCTTTTGGGCATAGAATTATAGTGAGTTGAAAGGATGCTGAAGTTAGAGGCATGGGTTAATTTACCCATCAATTATTGACTCACTTCTTTTTTTAAAGCCTGAAGTCACATTTACATTGCTGTTCTCTTTGCTCAAGTTTCCAGAATAAATGTCCCATAGTTCTCCAGCAAAAATTGTACATAGTTGTAGAGGTTTGAATGGAAAAGAGTTCCGTGCAGTAAGAGAGGTTGATTACAGGTAAATTCTCTCTAAAATGAAATTCAATAGACCAGAAAAAAATTTGTTGTAGACTGAGAGGATCCCTATAACATTGAAAGAGAACGCAACGGGACAAACGAAAAATTGTTGCAAACTGAAAGAACCCCTAAAATTTGAAAGAGAACCCTATGGGACAAACAAAGTTATAGATACTTTATTTGAGAGCCCACCTGTTTGCATAGTTCTTGGGGAATTCCGACAGGGTCTACAAATACTTCATACATATGGAGACGTTTGAGTTTTTGAGGTCCAACCCTTGAATAAATTTGCAAAATGTATGCTGTAGGCAACTCGGGTTCCGCCAAAGAACAGCCTTGAATCTAAGCAAATTGAAAGAACCTCTGCCGTGGTGGAATTCGGTGGACAAATGTACTGTGTTGAGAGAGTCCATTACCCCGTTTCGGAATCACACGCAGGTGCTCGTGCCCCAGTACAATACAATACAGTATAATATGGTGAACTCCCCGTACATCAAAGGCTGTTGGAAGTGCGGTCGCGTTGATTCGCTGCTGATGGTTGTCTTCCATTTTCATCAGGCGATAAGCGCGTCTCCGGGCAATTCCCCTGGCCCTGGGGGGGAACTATTGCCGGAAGTGCTGACACCCAGGGTCGACGGGCGGGCGGATTGAGAACAATAAACGGCGACTGTGGAGAGTGCGGTTCACTTGCATGCGCAGCAGCAATAACAGCCGTATTCAATGCAAATTGCGAACATCAACGACTGATGACTTCCCAGAAATTGTTCGTGGAAGTCAGTCCTTATTTCTTCACCGTTCCTATGCTTGCTATTAAGGACAAGGACAGGATGGGGAGGGGACCTTCTTTTATTGCACTCCAACCCCAGGAATGAAATGACTGGATTCTCCGATTTTAACAAGCGCTTTTCAAGAGGCTGATGATATTTACTTTAATAGCAATGTTCCCCGACCTTTTTGGTCCTGGGTACTGTCAAAAGGCCTACAATTTTCTGGGAGCTGGCAAAGTTTCATAAAATTTTTGCAGACTCAAAAATTTTTTGCTTGAAAGACTTTATTGCAGGTGTTTAAAAGGTTTCTGCTTTTCACAGAAATTAAGTTGAGAAAAAGTGAACAATGCTACTAATGGAATGTCTTCAAAAAATATAAATGTGGGCTTGAGGAAAGGTTTATCGGAATGAAAAATTAAAATAATGTATGTTACCAGCCATGAATTTGTCTGATGTGTCATTAGGAAAAAACCAACTTTTCCATTTGATAATTTCATCTGCCATTGTCTTTCCAAAATTTCAAAGATAATAGACTTCAGTGCTATTGTACTTTTGATGAATTTATTATGCTGAAAAAATTCCCTGCAGACTGGCAATAAACTTTCAAGGACCTGCACTGGTCTGTAGACCACTGGTTGGGGAACACTGTACCAAATCCATGGTACTCTACTCAAAGCTGGTGGTGGACCACATGGCAAGGATGATAGTCTTTGCAGGCCACAAGAAAAAATGTACGGTATATTTTCTCAAAAAAAGTGTTGGTTGAGGGTTCAGAAAAATGTACACATTCTGCATTTTTTTAGTGTGAGTTATACAGTGCACTAAAAATGGTCAAATTGATTTGCCCAAAATTTATAGAAATTTGTTTTTGGGAGTTGGATTGACCTGCAGGTTCTCAAAATTAATGTATATGGTTACTGATGATGATTGCCTTTGGCTGGACGAGAATGCTCCGTGGGCTGGATCTTGGGCTGTACCTGTAATACAGTGCCATGTGCACCTTTCTTCTCAGAATTTAAAGTAAAAGAAGGGGTGCGTGTCATAGGCAAGGATTAAATTTTTGAAATGTGTGAGAAGTTTCAAGGGGTGTGTAACATTTGAACAACGGGAAAATTTTGACAGAAACTTTTTACAAATCTGAACAATTGAAAATTATTTCAATTCAAGTTGTATTTATGCTCAAATTTGAATTCTGGTGTCTCTTATTTTCTCTCATTTTACTTGCGGATGCAAAAAATGCCACAAAAAATTGCAAAGAATGCCACTTTCAAGACATGGCAGTGCTTTGTCATACTGTAATGTCTATGCAACAACTTATAAAATATGAATTTGTTGATTCAAACCTACCTAATTTGTTTTTCCAATAGATCCCTGATGAATGTTTGCAAAACCAATACATTTCAACCGCTTTTAATTTCAAAATTTTGGGTCACAACTTTGTCCCTTAATCAAGTTTCCAAAGGTCTTTTTGGTTATTACGCTGGAGCTAAATTTTATAAGACTTTTTGCATAAAACAGAGAAAACATATGTAAATTATTATCTCAATGCTTTCAATGAGTGATCAGGCAACTTCTTGCAGGTAAGACATATGTGGTGATGAACACTTGCAATTATGAAGGCCAGAAAATAATTTTCATTGGTCAATTTACTAATGTATAAACCTAACCCATAATGTAATTTGTTCATAGATCAACCTTACTGAGAAGTTCAACAGTGCCAAAAAAAGATATTTGAGTACTGTACCACTAAATGAAAACCCTTGCATACTGAACAGAATTTGTTTGAAATGCCAGGCACTGAAATCATAAACTTAGCACTTGTTCATATCAGGATCTGAAGAACATGTGGGGTTTTGTCTAGTGCTAAACTGATAGAATCTATCTAATAAGAACTCACCACTCTGGAAAGCTTGAAGAATTCTTTATAAAAACCCTGAATGTATACATTCCTCATGACACACTAAATATGAATATATATTTCATGCATTGATATAAATATACAGTACTGCAACAATAGTTTTTGCAGTAGAATTTGATCCTTGTGTCAAAAACTCCTGTCTTCCTGAACTGGTCAATTTTTGTATTTTTGTCCAAGCCTTCCTCTGATTAAAATTAGATTGTTGCATCTGAATAATACAGGCAGTGTCCAAGAAATTAACTTGTCAGCTCAATAAAAAATTGTCATCAAGACCTATATATACAATACTGTTATTGCTGAACAATCTTGGTCATTCTAAACCCATAAAACCAAATTGTTGGAACCTTTTGAAGCTAATTCCTTGCTTGAATTAATAAAATGCTCAAGTTCAATGAAACTGATGTCAAGCAGGCCTCAAGAGGCACTTGTCAAACCCACAATGGAATACAACTTGTCAAATGCACTTATTGTCAAACCACATTTAAGAAAATATGCCTGACATCTAAAATACCCATGGAACATCCCATCATATGATTTCACAAATATATGGAGAAATCATTTTCTCTCACATGGAGTCACCTGCTACACCACTTCCTGCATAAGGGATTTATTCCCGATTCTTGAAGTTACTCATGTGCAACCACAGTAGAGAGTGTTTGGTCCAGGGGATGGGGGGCGCAGTGGCAAAGAGTTTTGACGACCGAGAGTTCTGCTCTGGCGAGATGGGGCATCACCGTTTCACTGAAGCTGAAAGGCTTCAGTTGAGGAGATAGACTCCCGTCTGGGGCATCTGTGGTTAGGTTTCGCGTGCGACGCATTGTTCAGATGAGTCGTGATGCACTAGCGAAGAATAGTCCCTGTTGTCATTCGGTATAGCTCCATCATCTGAAAAGTTGGGTGACGAAACGATTGCACTTTTTCAAGAGTTTTGTCAGGTTTTCGGATTTATTGCATTCCGGTGGTTCTTTTCTCCTACTACAAATGCGATACGTCGGGTATTCATTCCAGGAACGTTCAGGTGAGGAACAGAAATCAGTCTTTTTCCAGATCAATTGATCTCACGATGTATTGAGATCATTCATGGAGTTCGGCCAAGACGGTCTCGATGACGACATGGACCAAGAACCAAATGATTACAATCATGTTCTGCATGTATGTGTCTCTTCTAACTTCAGAATCGATGCTGGTAACTGAAAAAGAAATGTTCCGCGCAGGAATTGCAGCCTGGTGACCCCAGACGTGGATTCCATGGGAATGGGATGCATTATTCTGAGGAAACGAGCAGCAATAATTCAGGGGCCGTGGCTCCTTATCCCATGGTTCAAGATGTTCCGACAGTCGACACTACTGCGAAGGAAGACGTAAGAGAGTCGTTTCCGGGTAACGAATATATTGGGAAATCGGTGTCTTATGCAGGTGCCAGTGTATGCATTCAATGACTACATTGCCACAGAAGCTGAAGCCGAAGCCGTGGTTTCCCCGTCTGTTGAAATGGATTTCTACGAAGCTTCTCCTTATCAGGAGCCTTCTTTGACTGAACATCCAGATGCCATCGTAGAATCGACCACTAAGGAGGTTTGTTGAACGATCAGGTGGTGAGAATTCGGTTTGTGATGGTATGTAGTTGAGGCATATTATCATTTCAGGATGAGGAAGTTGGCGAGCAGAGGGAGTACTCTGAAGATGAAGAAACCTCCGAGGACTCTGCCAGTATGTGGGATGACGATGAAGCTAGGGATTACAACATCCGAAGAAAGATTTTCGACGCAAAGTTTAATACCCAGTTTCATTTGGAAATGCGTGGCGAAGGTGAGAAGATATATTTTTGCGGTTGTATTTCTGTTGCTATTTCGGGTTTATCCTGCAGATTTCAACATGGCTTATGTGCAAGAGAACGGCTTTCAGACTCCTATCAGATTTGTGTGCAAGGATGGTCTAGACTTGAAGGTTCCGTCTAAATGCACGGTGAAAGACATCAGGAAAGCTGTGGGTGAGTTCCGTGGTCCGGAAGTTATGTGAATGGTCATCTGTATAATGTTTTTTCCCCAGGCTCTGAGAGGATGGTGGATGTGATGAACACCGATACGCAAGAAAATTTGCAAATGTCCATGCAGAAGTGGCATCAGTACTGGAGGAACCCTGTGAAATCAAAGCGCTTGAATGTGATATCTCTGGAGTTTTCGAAATCTGAACTAGATAAAGACGTGACTGCCCCTGCGATTGTAAGATATTTTTTAAATCACTTTTCTGGCTATAGTTAAACCAGCTGAACTTGTTTACGAAATGTGAACGGGATATTTTTTCCCTAGAGTAGAGATTTTTTTAGTTATGAATTTTAGAACGATTCCGTGCTTGTTTGATTATTTTTGGCAAATATACGTGATTTCTAGGTACGACAACTAGACTGGACTGACCGTGCATGGCCGAGGCATCTGAAGTCATTGCAGACAGAGCCGACGAATATGATGGGACGCATGATGTATCCAAAGGTGCAAAAGTACGCCTTGATGTCTGTCCAAGGTAGTTACACTGATTTTCACGTGGACTTCGGTGGTACTTCTGTCTGGTACCACTTAGTTTCCGGGAGGAAGGTGAGTCTTGAAAGTACTTCATCATGCAATTAATTTCCGTTACACCGAATCTCGCTGTAATGGATTTTTTTTCTTTTTTTGCAATTTTTTCTCAATGGGCGTAATGTTATTAAATCTCGTAACAATCATCTTTCAGGCTGTAATCTCAGTACAGTATAACAAACTTTTGGCCATGATTCTGTGCACCGGCCATAGGGATTATTCGATGAATGGCAGAAAAGAATGTAAAACTTGAACAAGTGCAGCATGCAAACTTCATCACAGAAGAGAAAATTCAAGTCTTCAACAAGTATACAGATTGACATATTTCTTGGGAAACCTTGAGCTCCATTTCAGAATTTGGGCCTTTTTGTAATTAAGCGATATACTGAAAAGAATTTTCCTCTATCTGAAAGAACAAACGTGTGTGTATGGATGAGGAAATCGATGTGGAGGAAGTGCTTCTACAATCATGTACTATTGTTTCATTTTATTTTTCAATGCAGACAGCACTTCAGTAGAAGACAGTTTCAATAAAATAAAATATTGTGCAGTATGCAGATGGGCTCTCTATATAAAGATCTTGTCTATGAAAATTTTCTTGGTACAGTACAACAAATTTGTTTTGGTCCCATGGGATTCTCTCCCCGTGTAATGGAGGCTCTTTAAAACAAAAGTCTTCCTGAAACAATTTTTTATTGTCCCTTGAGTTTCATTTTTCAGAGGGTCCTCCTGTATTCAAAAATGTTCCCCTTGATTTCATCGGAGAGGCATGTGTATTATGACATGTCTTGTATCATCTGTTTTAGATGCAAGTTACAGTATAGTATTTATTATCCATTCTCACAAAATTTCAGTCTAAAACGTTCTGAAAACCTTGAATGTGGATATGACAAATATCTCATTTTGTCCCAGGGATTTTGCCGTGACAATATTTTACTGTTTTTTCAAATTTTTCCTCGCTTTAGCTGTAAAAATCTTCTGTTTTTACAATCTTTGCGTAGCGCGTGTAAGTTCATGTCTGGTACTGAAATTCCATCTTGTGCGCAAGGTGTTCCTGTTGATCCCACCAACTTCTGAAAACCTGGAGCTTTACCAGAAGTGGAGTATGAGCCCTGAACAGAGTCAGTATTTCTTTGGCGAGATGGTTGAGCAGTGCTCCAGAATCATTCTAGAAGCTGGTCACACCTTCATGATCCCCACTGGTTGGATTCATGCTGTGTACACGCCGAAAGACTCGGTTGTTTTCGGTGGCAACTTTCTCCACTCCTTCCAAACGCTGATGCAATGCAGGATTTTCAACCTCGAAATAGCCACAAAGGTATGTGGAAGATTTATTCTTCCATTCAGCAAGTGTTGGAAAATCGAATCTTCGGGTGCTGTGCGTAATGGCTAGTCATACTCTACTGAATGTCGTGATTCACCAGGAAACGATGTACTGTACGTCCATGCATATTTGTGGCGAAATAGCTCTCTTCGTCCACGGACTTTGCTTCCTTGCAATATCTTCCTACAGTTCTCATGCGCCTTCAAAAGTTCAGAAGCTTCCGTATGAGTTCGGCAGTTATCAGTGGAGAATCCAACAAGTAGAACGTCTAATTTTTCATCGCATAAGAATCATTGGTGGCAAAGGGCACAAAAATTGTTCCTTACTCATTCCCTGCCTTGGGCCCGATTAACAGTCCCTTCGAACAAAAATCCAAACTGAACAAGAATAAGTTTATTTCGTAAAATTTTTGTCTGTCTAGAGAGGAAGAAAATGTTCAGGTTACTCTTGAAGCTTCCCAATTTTTTTCAGCACCAGAAAAAATGTTGAAGAATTATTTGGTTGATGGGTAGAATGATGTTTCAGAGTTTTTTTTTTTGTCTTCTTGCAAAAACAATCTTCAGAACTGTTTCGATAAATATCCTAAAATTTCGTGTTCAGTGTTCAGTTCTTGATGACATTCCATCGTCACAAATGAACCAAAATTATTTTTGCATTCGAATTCAGCTTACATCCATATTTTGCCGAAAAATGAAGAAAAAATGTCTAATTGGCTATCATTTCTTATTATAGAAATCAGCAGTGATCTCAAATTGGGGTTCAAGTTTAAATTTGAAGTATTAGGAACTTTTTTTTTACATTTTGAAGTCAATAGTTTGTCCAACATGTCTAGGTGTAAATAAAGTTAAATAAAGCATAAATGGGTGTGAAGAAAATTTGGCAGTTCATGGGTGAATCGCCGAATACGATGACTGAAAGCATGTAAGGTAGTGACCCTTCATTTTTTCAGACTTTCTTCGTGAATTTGAACAAAATGTGTGTTCTACGCAGGTCACCAAGAAGTTCCAGTTCCCATTTTTTGTGGAGATGCACTGGTACGTTTTGGCGCGTTACGTCGGGGTTCTCATGGGGAAGAACCATTTGCAAGATAGTGAAGTCTACCCGGAATCCAGTCAAGAGGACCCCAAGTTTTGTCCTGGAGTGTACTTGACGTCGGCTGAGTTGCACGCCTTGAAAGTGATCGTCTGGTTCTTGTATTCATTGGCACCGAAAGACCGGTGTGTACCTGGTTTGTTGAAATCCCCGGCGGACTTGATCCGCGATATTAGGTTTATCCTCACGAACTACAAAGTGGATCGCGAACGAGCAGTTACTGGACACACAGTACTCTTGTGGACCAATGAAGAGGCGAAGAACGGCCAGATAGTGACGAATTCGAAGCCGCAGAAACGCATTGCTTTAACTGAGGACGAATTAGCTGCTTTTAAAAAGGCCAGAGGAAAGAAACGAAGGCGGAGATTAAGGTGCAAAGCGTGTGAAGCTTGTTTGAGGAGTGATTGTGGGGTCTGTGTGTTCTGTGTGGACATGCCCAAATTTGGCGGACGTGGAAGGCTGAGGCAGGCTTGTCACGAACGACAGTGTTTGAACGTGAGTTTATTTTTTATTTTATTTTTTTACGAATTCGAAGTAAGTTTCCTTTTCTATCGGATGCGTTTTATTCTTTCTTCGCTTCTCTTGATCTATTTTGAATTAACTGATATGGGTGCAAAGAAGCGTTGTGGTGCTGGTCGGATGCGTTAAAGTTGAACCTTGATAACGCGAAACTTCCTAAGTTGAATATCTGCATGAGTCGGATTTTTTCAAATCCCTGTCGGTGCCCTTGGAAACAATATTCGAAATCTCCCGAACAGCAAAAGCTTTCGTCCTCGAACATCCATGCACGAATTTTGAGGATGTTTTTTTGCGATGATTTTATTGACGGAGGAAGGAGAAAAGGGTGTTTACAGTAATTTACACTAAAGCATTAAAATCGTATCTTGATGAGTTTTGAAAAGAAGTTGAACCGTTGTCTTCAACTCTAGCATCCCGTCAACTTATTCAAGTAGCAATTTTAGGCTCAGAATATCACCAGTTATAATTTCCTGTAATTATTTCTTTCTTTCCCCCAACTCAAATGCTTGTTTCCGTATTTCGAATTTTTTGCTGTTCCTTCGAAGTTTGACTTGAGCAGGTTTAGACTGTATATATCAGCAGCGTGAATTGAAAATGTGTGTATGCACCGGTAATTTATATCACCACGCCGTTTCTTACCCTCGAGGGACAGCAAATTTGATCAGTTCGCTGTGTATTTCCCGGTGCAAAGTTGAACTACAATATTGTATTTTTAAAAATATTTGTAACAAGTGAAAGACTTCCGTGTCTCTTTCGAAGCGTATCAGCAACGTGACTTCTTCATGAAATGGAATCGTGAAATCACCACTAATTGGTTGATTTGAAAGTACTGTAGCTTGTATATGAACTGTGTGGTATTGCTCACTCGCATCCTGCGAAAAAAAAATTAGTTGTACAGATCGAATTCAAAGGGAGTAAGATGAGTGCTAAGCTTCAATCAAAGGCGTGTTTGTGTCGGGAATGATTTCAAATGTAAAACGTGTTCCTGGTAAGATTATTCAATAATTGACTCTGCTTTTGGTCGCTTGATTCAATCCACTATAATTCTACTGTTCTCTATTCCAGCCTTCAATGCGAGCGACCTCCGTTTGTCTTTTGTGCAATCTAAAGGAATCCAAGAATGGGGAAAGGCTGCACGAATGCTTGAGTTGTTCGGAAATGACGCATGTTCGGTGTTCCATTGAACTGGTAAGCCGTCTTTTTCAAGTTTGAAGACAGGATTGAATTATTTCATGCGTGCTTGGTCTTGACTGGTTGATTTTGCTGGAGTACTGAGAAAGGTTTTCAATCTGAAACTTTCAGTGCCCAGGTGAAGAAGGGAAGGTCTTGGATGTTGTGTCATCTCTGTGGGTGTGTTGCAAGTGCATGAAAAACGGCTCAGGCCTGAAGGAAATCGAGAGATTCGAACGGCGAAATATTGTTGTGTCGAACGAACCTGTCAAGGTGAGTTACGGAGGAAGCTTTCTGTGCTCCGAAAGGAGTTGCATAAATGTGTTCATTCCATCAGGTGAAGAAGGAAACATTTGGGAAAAAGTGCCGGAGAAAACAGGTCAAGGTTTCCAACAAGGAAAAACCTGGAACTTCCGGCTTGAAGACGGATAAGATGGACCCAGATTCTGCGGGACTGAATTCGTAGTTTTCCCGGGTGTGTTCAAGTGTCGGTTTTCAATTGGATAGAAATTTCGATTTTTTTAGTACTGTTCGTGCCGCTGAGGATTTACCATGGTATAGAATCGGTCCTATTTTGTGTTGCGACTTGGTGCTTTCCTGTGTTTGGATGGATTTATTGTTCTCTGGAGAATAAGAACTTCGAAGCTGTTTTTTATGTTGGAAATTCTTTTTTCACCGTGAGATGCATCGGAGCGCTATGTCAATGTTCATAAAAAGTCTCATCCAATTTCTGCTGTATGAAGAAATTTCTGCTGATATGCTTAACGAAGAATTCATGGATTCCAGGAAGTTCTTTCCATTGAATCCTGGAAGTTTTGCTGAGAAAAGTTGTTTTAATTCAAAATACAAAAAAATTCAGTCATCCCTAATTTGTTAGCCGAAGAAGGAAACTTGTTCTCTTTCTTGTTTCAGAACATGTCACAGACAGAAGCCCCTGCACTTACATCGGCTTAAACGTTTGAAATGGTGTCCATGGCCAGAAAAAAATTTACTATATGGGCTTAAACCAGGCTTAGCCGTAAGCCTGCAGCAAGCAGGTTAATGAACGTTTTCCATGACTCTTCAATAGAAATTAGAATGAGAAAGGATTCCTACATTTTACTCCATAGTCAGCTTATAAATGTCACAATTCGTTGAATTACAGGTAATAATTGAAAACTAACTTAATTTTTAAAAGAAAAAATGTAATTAAATGCCTCCATTATTTTCAACAAAACTGGCTTGCCATTATTTTTCATAGTAAATATAGCTCCGGAGGATCATGAGGTTTGCAACTATAAATTGTCCATTTAACCTAAGATGCTTTATAATTTTTCTCTAATGGACATGTGAAAGAGTTCCATGTTTACTCTCTGGGCCGGCGCAGGCATGGGTGGCACCTAATGCAAGAAGCAAATTTGGTGCCCCCTACAAAAATTTTGGATTGCAAGTTTGAAATCTACTATCTACATGGAAAGATATATATTAGTCGAGTACTGTGGAGATTAAACATGATTGAATATTCAACTATTATCTGCAAAACTTAACTGAAGAACATAATGTTGTATCAGTTTTGAACAAAGCATCCCAGCCCTGAAACTGAGGAAGGTTATTAACCTGTCTTTAAGGGTTGATTGGCTCACAAAGAAAGTGGTATACAGTATGTGCACACTCTGGCAAATTAGTTGTGGTGCAATTTGTTTCATCACACCCTGTCGTGGTCAACTAGGTTGCAGGTGTGCCAGAATAATAGTGTGTAAAATTGTCTTTGGGTTAGGAACAATCTCACATGTCAAATGCCTTCCAACCACCAACCAGTGACATGTCTTCTGTACTGGTTGAAAAGTCCTTATTGAAGAAAATCACTGCTATTCTCTGGGATGAATTTTGATATTATTAATACAGTAAAATCTTGTTGCAATAAACTCCTGGAGACCTGAGAAAAAATTAAGTGCTGTATAAAAAGAAGTTGCTGTATCAATAATTCAAGATTAATGATTTTTAGCACATCTCAGACTGCAATTTTATTGGAAATGGGGAATATACATACTGTGAAATGCTTCTAAAACGCAGAATTCAAGACCTAGCATAATTAGTGATTATACTTCTGATGAAATGAAGATAAATCCATTAACATAAAAAGTACTCTCCTTTAAATAAACAAACATTTGTACTGCTCATAACGACCAGTACTTTTTACTTTTGTTTTAATGTATACCATTTGTACGAGGTAAAGGAAGAGTTAGTTGAATAGGTGAGTACCGAGAAAGACTTTATCTCCTTGTAAGAAGATTGTATGACAACATTTGGAAAAGGCATATTCTAAAATGGATGAGCAAAAGAATTTCAAAAATATGTCCTGTTGTGTATTTTTTGATTGCAAGTTTTCTTTGCATGAATATTTTTTATGAAGTTGTAATGCTGCATCTTTTAATTTTTACAAGAATTTCTGGCATTTATTGAGTAATCCCCATATGGGCTGTGCACATGCAGAATCACGGCAAACATTTGTTATGAGATTACAGCCAAAATTACTTCGTTTTAACAAAATTTTTATAACAGTATGCCTATGGGAAACTGCCAGGACCAAGAAAAAAAAAGCATTATAACAAGAAATTTGTTATAATGAGATTTGTTGTAGCAGAATTCTACTGTATTACTATTTACCTGCTTACGCTTTAGGAACTGGCCATTGACAAATTATTCAGCCTGCCTTGCTGCAAGCTTCCCACGGGTAGAAGTGGATTCACTTTTAAAACACTGCCTCCAGGCTGAACCCCAGGTGAGGCTGTGCTGTGCCCTTTTGATGGGAAAGAAAAGCGAATGAACCCCCAGGGAGGCAGGATTTTAAGATACAGTACATTCCACGAGCTTGTCGGGAACTCTTCCGCGAGGATTGCCGTCGAATTTGAATTCCCGTGAAGTTCATTTTTGTGGTTCACTGAAGTGATACATTCTTTTGAGTCTCCGTTGGGCTTTCTTGATCAAAGGTGGTCGAAATCATTGTTTCGAATGTTTGCTGAGGCGAAACTGCTTTGCGTAGTTGCCATTGTTCTGTATTTCCGTTCGATTATGGGACGCGCCGAAGATTCCGAGTTTCGAGTCGCACTTCATTTTTTCTGAAATATAAATTTAAGAATTATTGACCCTCGGAATAAGAATTGTCTGATTCAATTTTCATAGAAAATAATGGGTTGGGGGGTGGGTGGGTTCTGTGTATGGAATACACACTAATTGCACTCCTTCGCTGCCATGCTTTTTCTTTATTGCAATATTCTCCCTATAATTATCATTTTGTTGTTGTTGCTTTTATATATAGGCATAATGTGAAGTTTTTCTCTGAAACTACGACAGGTCTTAGATTAACGTTCATTACGTGGAACGCCGGCATAATATTTACACCTCCTGTTTCACCTTTACTACCGGTCCAAAACTTCGAAGTTTAAACATTCTATAGACTTAAACTATTACCAAAGTTCTTAGTACCCTTTGTTAAAATGATTGTTTATGAATCAAATTCATGCATCATAAACAATCCACTCTTTCACGTGGAAATTTGGAATTGCGGAGTTTTTGATAAATTCAAGTTTCAATTTCCTGATTTATAATCGCGACGAGGCAATGTTCCTTAAATTCATATTTTGGTATTTGATTCTGCTCGGTGGACATTTTTTTCCGTGATTCAAGTTTCAATTCTGATCACCTTAATTTTAAAATCATTTTTATAGGTATTGAAGTCAGTGTACGACTTTTTTTTGGGTTAGGGCGAGTATATGAAAATAGCTCTCTGAAAATGTGTCAAGGGTATATTTTGCATAACTTAATTTTTAGAACATATTAGGGGAAGACAGAAGATATTTAATAATAGGACAGCTGTACACAAATGATCCCTATACTGTAGCAATTTATTTGTAGATTGCTTGAGAACTGTTGCAAACCAACATATGCGGTCAATTTGTAAACTGTACTTGTAATTATATTTTAGGGATATATTTATGAGCTATGTTGTTCATGTACGCTTGAATATACATTAAATTGACTTGAATGCAAATAGAATTTATTGTAATTCTTTATGGTTTATAATACAATACTTTCAGAAGATTTTGGGAAGGTTTATGCCATTTTATTTCAAGTACTAAGCATTCTCAAATAAAATGCGCACCTCAATTCCAAGGCCTAATATTAAAAAAAAAAACGGATCCTAGAATAATCCGCACCCCAATTTTGAGTACATGAAAAATTTCCATATCGCAATAATAAACTACGCAAACATCGAACTTAAATTCCATGCCATTTAATTATTGTTAAATATTATCATCTCTCATGTTTCAGCTGATGCCTTAATTTTTCAATGAACCGAGCTCAGAAAAATCTGCTGAATACTACCCCAAAGTGACTCACCTATGATGTATTCCTACATTTATTCAATTTTCAAGTATTCTCAATCCATTTCTCACCCAAACACTCCCTGCTACAGGTGAACCTCGATAAGTTGAACCTCTGTAAGTCCAATTCATAAGTCGAATTTTTTTCAAGTCCCTGTCCAAATTCCCTTAAAATCAATACATTAAAACCCTCCCCAACTCTAATTCTTTTTTTTCTAAAACCAATGCAATGTCGAATTTTCTGAGGCCTTCTGGTTATTATTTCTGTGAAACATGAGAGAGAACATGATTAAAACAAATCATTTGATGCATCTTGGAAGGAATTGAAATAAAAATATAGCAAATGAGCCCCTGCCTCCAAGTTCAGCACAGTAAAAAACTCATCAAGAGGCAAGTTTAGGCCTAGAATCTCATCATTTACAATTTCCTGCAATTTTTTTTACTAATCCTCACAGCAAGAATTATTTTTTCCTAATTCAAAACCTGCAAAAATCAAAACCTCCCCAAGTTGAATTTTTTCCTGGTCCCTATAGAAATTGGACTTACAGAGGTTCAACTGTATATTGATCCTATAGTAAAACGGTGGTACCCAAATAAATATGGATTTCTTGTAAGTGGGGTGTCAAAGCCCCCTTCAAATTCTAAAAGAATAGTGAAAAAGTTTTGTGAAAGCCCCGTTGAGGTGGGAGGGAGAGTGAAAGAACAACAAGTGTTGGAGCAGGGAGAGGAAACAGGTGTGACGTATGCATGAGGGAACGGGGAGGGGGGAGTGACTTCCCCCCCTCCTTGGAAAACGCCTGGGGGCAAGGGTGTTATAAAACATGGGTTAAATGAAGGTTGGGCGGTTTTTTTGTTTTGTTTGTGATTTCCTGCCCTGAACCTGCCCCATGCTGGCGGGGCTTTCCTCATCTCATTCTCCGGGTCTTTGAACTTTTCCTCCCTCAGTGTTTCCGATTTGTTTAATTCCGTTCTTAATTTTCATCCCGTCACGGTTCATGGGAAACGTGTGGATTAATAGCTTAGGGATTCCCAATGATGTTACCAGTATAACAGTGTATTTCCTCTCCTGATGTGCCGTGAAGAAATATGAAGAAATGACAACGGCGTTTTTCTTAAATTGGTAATGCTGGGGAGGATGAGAGGGGGGGGGTTGTTGTTGTTGGAAAGAGCGAAGTTTGAAGTTTTCTTTCTGGGGATAATGGTTTTAAAGTCAATAAAATTATACGATGAAGAAAATTCGTTGAGTTTTAGCTCTTGAAGAATGCGCATTGGGTTTTTGGAATATACGTTT